TCATAGTCCTCATTATCAAGAACAATTGTGTTCCAGAAAAACCTTCCCTTAATTTACCATTCCTGGGTTAAAGAAGAATCTCCTCAGAATGTTTAATATTACAGCAATCACATCATCTATATAACTGCTCACAATATATTAATGTTAAGTGACTCAGTCTTCAGGAAATCATATTAACAATGTTCATGCCAAAAGCACTGGTTTCTGTGGTAGAGTGACTGCCTACCATGCCAATGTTTCGTTCCTATCCTTAAGAGTACCTAGAAAATTGGGTTTTCACAATTCATCTATCCATTCTCAACCAATAAATGCCATCAGGCAGAGATTGTCATAATTAGCTATGTTACTCATAACTGTTTCCTCTCACCATACAGTTTGAAGAACAGAATTTTTACTATTTGCATTTAGTAACAGATTATGGAACAACACTATTCATTTTTCTTTAAATCTGTAATTACTATTCCCAAACCAAAAGGGAAAAGTGATGCCAGAAGGCCAATTCTCAAGTCAACAAGATGCTGGTATGTGCTGCTCTGTACTTAAGAGCAGGACTCTATCTGAGCAGATCCCATCTTTGCATTCGCTTTCTCCCACATTGATCCAGCTGCCAGCATAGAGCTCTCCAGCATGCTGGAGTCAACCATTGCTGAAAGAGAGAGAGCTCATTTCCTTCTGGAGCTTCATGTGTAATCCAATTCCTTAAAATAACCCTTGTATTCCAGATTTCACTCATGGGGATTATAGCTAGTTCTTTATCATGTGATTTTTTTATTCTCAGAAGCAGTTCACAGACTGTGCCTAACATCCACAACCTAGAAATGTTCATAATTGCACTTTGACACAGCAACCCGTTCTGAATGCCTGGATGAAGATATTAAAATTTGGGTTTGCAGCTTTTCCCAAGCGCATTATCTATGCACTGTGTCTGCGAACACGTCTAAAAACCATACGAATGGTTTTTAGAGGTGTTGACCTCCACAGCTCCAGTTCAATTCCTGCAGTTCCCCAGCTAGTATAGAGCAGAAATGAAGCCACTGTAGTGGCAGAAGTTCAGCTTCAACACACACCTCTCACTTCGAGCATGAGCCATCTGCAAACAGTGTCACGCACAGAGCACATTTTGGATTGTTGGGCCAAGGCCAAGCTGGAGCCCAGGGCCGTCACAAAGGACAGGATCTTTCAAATGCAGCAATAGACTGGAGACAAAAGGAAGGGCCAGCCTGCTGATAATCTGCACTACACATTATGATATAGTGGTTTGTTTCTGTTTAAATTGACACTAATTTAGGTGCTATTGCCATAGATTAAAATAACTGCTGAATCTCTCATTTTTGCCTGATAGATGACTACAAGGCTAAGTCCAAGAAGTGTCACACCTGTTCCTTACACATATCACATCAGCAATACCTGTTTATGCAAAGGTTGCTTTTGTATATATATGCATACAAGCTTCTTTTCTACTTTGGATTTGAATTCAAGTAAGGGGGAAAAGGAAGGATAAAGTAAGGCATGGAGGATTTTCTAGGATAATCTGATAGCTCAAAGCACCTGAAAAGGTGTCCTGCACACCTCCTTCCTTCAATGTTGAGCTCTCAGCCACAAATTCCCTCACTCCTCCATTCCCCACTAGACCTCTTGCTGAGATGCATCTATTCATAAACCAGAAAACTAGTTCAGGAAAACAAAACAAAACAAAAAAAGATAGGTTTATTCCAGGTAAACAAATCGATTCCTCTCCATAAGGGGTCAAATGCCACTAATGCCAATGCAAATCTCAGTGTATGCTTGACTTGGAAATTAGCTGTCTAACATTGTTTCAGCTTTATTGTGTGGCTTCATCTTAAAGAAATGCCAGCATATTTGGCTAGCTTAAAGATCAAATGCAAGATCTATGCAGGGATTTCCATTCCATTCATGGCTGTCCAGGATATGCATCTCCATCCCTGAATTAGGCTGTGGGATCACTACTTCTGCAGGGATTCTTTCAAGGCTGCTATGAAATTCATAGTTTGTATCTTGCCACATAAACCCAGAAAGCTTTCTGAGGTCATATCCTACTGCAGCACTGTTAACAGCAGGCTAAGCCACACTGAAATACTTCCAAATGAAAACAGTGGGGGAAACAAATGACAGATATTCAACCTTCAAATTGTTTCTGTATTTACTGCTAGGATGAACTACTTCACTGGGTAAAAATTTCACTCTAGTTTCAGCTGACAGCACCGAACAAGACTGCAGAGCCAGGTCAAATATGCCAATAAACTCAAGCAATTCTATTTTGTCTAGGGTAAAGATAGATTTTCAGGTAATTAAGAAAGAGAAATATAGCTTAATTGCATGATTGCACAAATATTGTACACCCACATGGCCTCATAACAAGACACCACAAGACTTGTAAGTTTTATGCAGATAAAAAGAGTCCATTATTAAACTTAAATGTTGAGACAACTTCCTGAATGGTTAACAAGACAGATATACACACTAGACAGCACGTGGAAGAGAAGTGAACTCAACCAGAAATTAGAGCACAACACTACTAAATTCAGCAAAAAAAAACTTTCTCTCTTTGCAGAGCCTGTGGTGGTTAAAAGCATCATCTTATCAAACTTCAAAATAAATAATTGTGCAAAGTTTATTTTCCCTCAATATTTAGCTTTTCTTCAATTAAATACTAAAACTTTTACTTGAAAAAGAAGAAGAGGCAAAAAAATTCTCAGTTTTCCAGTATCTTGGTGTTGGTGTTGATTTATTTGCCAAAGAACACCTCCCTCAGAGGAGGATAACTAGGTTCTTCTTAATCACTTCCCATGTGTACTAACAAATTTATATTTTTATTTTTTTCTCTACACAAAAGACATGAACTACAATCACTTTCATTACAAAATCTTTACAAAATCATAATGTATTTTGTAAATGACTAACAGTTAGACTTAAAAAAAGGAAAAGCTACATAATGCTCTGAGACTTGATTTATTCTATAAATTTGTGCCAGTCTGTGACAGTTACATTACAATGACATTACATCATTGTATGACATCTGCTGAACTGAAAGGTTCCCTTCCCAAGGCAGAGCTGTGGATGTTTCCTTTCATTTGGTAATATTGCTCATCTCCTTTGTACTAAACTTCATCCATATGTTGTCAGAGTGATGTGGGATGACTGCTCTACTCCTCTGTATATCATGTCAATAGGATGAGGGCACTGAAGGCAGCATTGTATCAGTGGATACATTACCTATGTTTTATTTCCCAGGGAAAGGAAGAACAATTTAAATACAGGAACTGAAATATATTTACATATTCCGTAGTCAGTTAAATTTATTATAAATCAGCTCGGCTACCAAATGGGGCTTCTTGTCACACAGCCATGGCTGCTTCTCCCTGCCTTCTGTTTCTGCCAGTCCCAGTGTTCATCTGGCAAATCACATCAGGGAACAGATCCAGTAGAAAACTTTTTTTTTTTTTTTTTTTTTTTCCCCAAAGCTGAGTTTTCATTCAGATGAACTCCCTACTTCAGCTCATTCATGGCTGCACAAACAGCAGTGACAGCATGAGGGAGGCAGTACAAACAGCCCATGGTGTAAGACAAAGTAGACTCACCCTTTTAGCAGCAACAGCCATTTATCCTGTTTAAGTTCATCATGGACCTGTGGCACTAGTTAAGTGGTGCCAGTCACAATATGGATTATCTAACTTTCCTGCATATTACTTTCTCAGTCAATTAGTGGCCAATTTCAGCTAATCTAAGGTAAGCCACTCTTAACATGGAGCAAAAAAAAGCTGTTTGGGTAGTTCATACTGTTCATTCACACTGTGTATGCATACACAGAAATGCAGAGGCAACAACAGCAACCTCTCTAGGTGATCCTATAAGAAATTTCTAACAGCAATAAGAGCTGGTCTGACCAGCCTCTGTTGAGAAAGTTCTGTGATATTGTAAAAATCATTCAGTCTAACTGTGTAGAAGTTTTACATAGCCTTTAGAAAGAAATCCACTTGGGTAGATGTCAAAAGACTTAGTAGCAAGCCAAAGACCATAAAAAATAAAGAAATAACTCTCAGGCTGGCTAGTATTACGTCTTTCTGTCCACTATTCTCAACACTGAATGAGTTAAACACAGTCTGAGACATCCCCACATAAATTGCCCAGGGTCTACCCTTTCCTCAGATAACCCTGACTGAGAGTTTTGCTTCACTGAAGTCTGTAATACCAAGATTTCAATAAATGTTCATGGAGGCTAATTGTTTTTCATTATTTTCCATAATATTCTGCATATCTGATTTAACATTGCCCAGTTTGTTTAGAGATCTAGTCCTAATCCAAACCTGGAATTTTGGAATTTTCTAGTCAGAAGATATTTTGGCTGCACTGACCAGAGCTGAGCAGACCCTGTGCAGGTTTCCTAACTGCTCCCAGAAAAACACAGACACTCAGATTTTCTTCATCCTTGCTTCTGATTTATTCAATGCTACCTCCAGTCTTTAGGCATCTATTTATCCTTAAGTTTTCAGAAATACAGGGTATCTACAGAGCAATACAGTAGCTATGAGACACAAACATACCAAAACCCATAATGTATTATCCACATTTCAGCTCTCAGTGTAGTGGTTCACTTGCATTTTGGGAGAGTGCCAGAAGATGCAGGCCACAGACTACAGTTCCTGGCATCAGCACAAGAGGAATTTTGTGCACCAATAAAGTAGCACCACATTTTCCTGCCACACTTACCCATACAGGCTACCTGATCCGCTGTCGGAACTAACTGTGCTGAGCAGCCCTAATTAATGGTTAGCCATCTCCTGTGTATGCAGGGCTTGATTGAAATGCTCAGGACCAGTGCTTTGGTTGGCTCCACTCTTATCTTACTTGAAGCTGATAAAAGGAGTGTGTCTACCCTTACTGCCGCCCCTCACAAATCCCTGGGCAGAAGCAATCACTCTCTGGCAGATTCTGTCAACAACAAACAGCAGCGCTTTTCTGCAGTGTCACACCAATCTCACCTCTGGTGCAGTCAGGCAACAGCAGCATCTGAGCAGCTTTCTCTATCCCCATTCCTATGCCTGAGGAATACCCTATTCCTTGATGGTGAGGCTGTAGGGAGAAGGAAGAAACAAGGTATCAAAAGCAAGAAATGTTTACCGACTGCTTTACAGTTCTCCCAGGTTGTTAGCTCTTGCAGTTACAGGAATGAATTCTGATCTTGAGCAAATGGCACAGGGTGTGAAAATAGATCAGTGTTTCTTCACCAGCAGCTGCATTTTGAATGTTACCTCTAGTACAGGGCTGGGAATTTGGTACCCAAAAAATTCTCTAGGAGAATTACATCGACACTGCATTTTAGTAAAAAAACCACTATGTGATGTTCTTGTGTTTACTTATCTCTGTTTATGTTTTTTCTGTCTTCCATCTATGGAAAGAGGAAACAAGAAGCTAAGTAGTAAATGACAGCATTTAAGCATCTCAATATTGTAACTTAAAGTGATACTACCAGTCAGACTTAACTGAAAATTAGTATTTTTTTCCTAATGTGCTAGCAAAGAAACCCTAGGACAAATGTAACTACAGGTCTTCTTTTTAAAGTCAAAATACTAGCCCCATTATACAGTTAGAGAACTCAAATGGAAACAAGAGTTTTTTGAATTATAAGCATTTTCTAAAAGTAAACATTTTCATGTGAGGATAATACATAAACGTTTTCTGAATACATGCAAAAATGACATCTCTTTTAGTTGTGTGAAACATTTCATAGTCCTAATTCAGAGCAGTATCTGTTGTTATGACAATACTTTAAAATATGTTAGGTTTTAAGCATGCACCTAAACTTCAGCATGTTTAGTTACAACAACCACAGCAGGCAGAGGCAGACAACAGTGTGAGTAATCTGTCTCTTCAAAGATGTTGCTATTTAAGATAGAAAAACCAAAATCCCTTCCTGAATTAACACGTTGTGATTTTTATCGTAACACACCTTCTGTGAAACATCTTACCCACAAACATTAGGGTAAAATTCTGGTGCTGATTTAGCTGAATTGCACACAAAGGTACATCAGTCTCTCAATTCTAAAAGGCATGGTACTTCAATACAAGTCTGTGCAATACAATATAATCTAGTCTATTATATATAGAAGAATATAGCTTCATCTAAATCCATTTAAGTTAGTAACAAACATAAAGCACACCATGAAACAGGATGCCATGAAGATAAAGGGTTAACATGTATCTGCTAGAAAATGGTTGAGCTTAGAACAATTGGAGCCAGTAATTGTAGCAACACTGAGAATGCCTTAACCCCTACGATTGGTGTAGCCCTGCAGAGCACTCTCTGCAAGCATTGCCTGCAGAAACAGCCATTTTAAATCTTCAGCAATTCTGTTCTGTCCTCTTGCTGATGACCAGTGTACTCACAGGACACATGAAAGAGTGTGTCATCATACAGTCATAGAATGTGCTGGAGCTGGAAGGGACCCCAAAGATCATTGAGTTCCAACCCCCCTGTCATAGTCAGGGACACCTTCCACTAGACCGGGTTGCTAAGGGCCTCGTCTAGCCTATCCTTGAACACTGCCAGGGATGGGGGATCCACAACTTCTCTGGGCAATCTGTACCAGTGCCTCCTCAGCCTCACAATAATGAACATCTTCCTAATAGCTAATCTAAACCTGCCCTTTTTCAGTGTAAAACCACTGTCTTTTTATCCAGACCCTTCTCTTCACCAGGCAGAACTGCCCCAAATCTCTCCACCTGTCTTCATAGGAGAGGTGTTCAACCCCTCAGAATACCTCGTGGCTTCCCCTGGACCTACTGTCACAGGTCTACATCCCTCCTGTGCTGGGAACCCCAGAGCTGGATGCCGTGTTCCAAGTGGGGTCTCAGAAGAGTGGAGCAGAGGGGCAGAATCACCTCCCTTGACCTGCTGGACATGCTGCAAGCATACACTGCTGGCTCGTGTCCAGCTCTTCATCCACAAGAACCCCCAAGTCCCTCTTCTCAGGGCAGCTCTCTGCAACTTCTCCCAGTTTGTGTTCATGTCTGGGAATGTCCCAGCCCAGATGCAGCATCTTGCACTTGGACTTGTTGAATTTCATAAGGTTCTCGTGTGCCCAATTCTCAAGCTTGTCCAGGTCCCTTTGGATGGCATCCCATCCTTCTGTTGAGTCAACTGCACTGCTCAGATTTGTGTCATTTGCAAACTCGCTGAGAGTGCACAGGACCCCACTGTCTGTGTCATTGAGGCAAACATTGCAGAGCAGTGGTGGTCCCAAAACAGAGCCTGAGAGACATCACTCATCACCAGTCTCCACCTCAACACCAAGACCTTGACCACAACTCTCTGGCTGTATCCAGCCAGACAGCCAACTCCTTATCCATTGTACTCTCCATCCATCAAATCCACCCATCTCAAATCTGGAGATAAAGAGCTTCTGAATAGCTTGTGTTCCAGTTGTATGGTGTTTCCCAGTCTTTCTGTGATAGCAGTTATGCCATAGTTTTCTAATTTCACAATAATTTCCAACTTCTCTTGCAACTTGCTACCCCTGCTGCTGTACAGTTGTGTAAGAGAATGTCTTCAAAACACTCTCCATCTGCTTTAGTTCCAAGAGGGTTGACTTTAATTAGGACAGCTAACTTTGCAAATTAAGCCAGCCTTTGTACCAAATTGAATGAGAAATTATCACAGCTTCCAAACCATTAGTTCAGATGGGGCAAATCTGACAAGTGACTGCCACAGGGACTTACAAACAAGGGATGATGATGTCTTTAGTCAGTGCAGCTAAGTGCATACTTCTGAGGTGTGATCTTGTACCTAGCCAAAGTGAAATTTGTACTAGCTTGGTTTGCAGTGACACACTGAAAACATCCCTCTTCTACAGGCCCCTCCAAAACAAAACAAGTTGTACTGTTGCAGTTTCTTGCCACAGCTTAAATAACGGCCACGTACACTCAGTGGTACAAAATGTGACAATATGATGAGAAAAGCCTGTCCAGAGCTGTTTTTTTAGCACTGCCCAGCTGCAGGCCTTTTTGCTCATGATCCTGAGTCATAGCAAAGCCATGTGAGTGGTCCTAGCCCATTTCACTACACACAGTAAATTATACATAGGTATCTGCTGATAGTGCACAAACTCAGACTAGGAATACCCACTTAATGGCCTAAATTTACTAACAGTAAAAATTTTCAGATAAAGTTTCAAAAGGTTATTAACAGTTCTGATGAGACAACAATCCTCCTTCGAGGACCTTATACCGTTTTTTCCAGTATTTTTAGTAGAAATCTCTAAAGCAGGTTTTAAAGATCTCTGCTGCCGAGCAGTACAACCTCATAAAGCAGATCGTGGTGGAAAACCCTGGCAGAGACAAGGCGTGTAGGAAGAGCTGAGGCTTTTTAACCTTCATTATATATACCTGCTCGATCCAGTTTACGATACACCTATTGCAGTTCTGTAGAATGTTTGTTTGTTTTCCCTATGCAGTATATGGTGGTACAAAGTCTTCTGCTTTGAGAAATACACTGGAGCTGAGATTTTCCTGCCTTGGGCTTTTCGCTGAGCTCATGGGCCCTTAAGTCTCCCCCCAGCAGTAGGTGTCCCCACCTTGCTCCACCCTTCAGCAGTGCACGTAAATCGGGGGCTGGCCAGGGAGTCCCAGCCCGGAGGGATGTTCCTGGCGCCCGGCGAGGGCTCAGCCAGCGCTAAGGCTGGCGACTAAGCCTTACTGTAAGCCGGACAGCTGGAGGAAAGTTTCTTTTTCCCCGCTTTCTCTTTCCGTCGGTGTCTTACGGTGCGAGGACTGCCGCATGCAACAGCGCCAAGTACAGGGCTCTGCACATCTTCCTTCTGCTCAAGCTCTCCCGGAGCACCTCACGGCTACTCCAGGCTGCAGGAAAATGTACTGGGCAAATCAGGTTAGGTAAGTTTGCTTGAGATGCCGGGAACTTGCTCTAGCCAGGGATGCTTATACCTTTTAAAAGTTCACACATTAACCATTCGTTTTAGTGTTTGTGTCTTACTAGCACAAATTTACTTATGGTTTGGGGGTTTGGGGTTTTTTTTCTCTTTATTTTTTTCCAGAATTCTTTTCACTGTGACTCTGGTCTGGCAGGCTGTTCATTTAGAAAAAGGTAAGGGAAACTTCATGTTTCTCCCCGCTCCCCTGCGTTTTTCTACATTTACAGTGTGCATTTCTTCATTACAAACTACCCTTCCCTTACTTATTTGCGCTTCTTGTCAAGGCCCTGAAAAAGAAGAACGTAAAGAAGATGTGAAAAGTCTCAATGCCACAGCACAAAAGCAGCAGCTCAAGAACGAAGGGACCTTTATAAGTGCGCTCAGTGACATGAATCAGAGCTACGAAAGTAGAAAGCAACAGAGTTCCAGGTCATTCGTACCTTTCACTGGAATTACAGAGAGTAGGTAACATTATTTTTGTAAACAATTACATAAAATTACTTTCAAAAAATTGAATATAGTAATGATTCAAATGTTGTCCTTGAAGATTCCAGCTTGCTGATTTTCTGGGGCCACCCATTTAAATTATATCCATGGCCACTTAGTAAATGGCAATAAAAATTTAAGGTAGAACTGAAGGTCTCACTTGCAAAATGTGTTAAGGAAAAACATTAAGGAAGTATACTAAGAATGAAGAAGTGTTTGGCCCTTTGTGTTTACAAGAGCATCTGTGAAATTTTGTTATTCTGTATATTTTCTAAAATTCACGGTTGTTTCATGACCATAAAAATGTTTATTTTATAAAAAAAGGGTTTGAGTTGCCTGAAAGTAACAGTACTAACAGGGAAAAAAATAAAATATTCTGTTTCCTCCCATATATATAAAGTTTTAAGTTGGTGCTCAATCCCAGGAAAAGTTTTAAGTGAGCATTCCCCCTGCCTCAGAACCAAGTAACTTCCCAGTAACAAAACCTCTTTATTCCAAAATAAGCATAACCCATCACCTCCCAGTAAAAATGCCCCATTTCTTAGTGTGATTGAAACCTGTATCTGTCAAAGTGAAATATTTCACTTGAACACATCCTGCTGCTACAGAATTTGCCAGGCGTTGCTTCTTCACTGTCCTATAATCCCTAGTAGCTTGTTTCTAATCCTTAACTAAACAAACTGGGTTTAGCTGAACAAACACTCCTAACAGGCATATAATTTTATTGTCTCTAAAGACAATAAAACTAGATATCCTTAAGAGACTTCAGGAACTGGAGAGACCTGAGAGAACAAGTGAGGAAAAGGTTTCAGAGCCCCTGAGATGCCTGTTAACCTCTCTAATATTGTCTTGCAGGTAAAAAACTGAATAGACACTGCTGCCAGAATGGAGGGACTTGTATCCTGGGGACCTTCTGTGCCTGCCTAAAGCATTTCACTGGCAGATACTGTGAACATGATGAGCGACTAAGGTAAAAAAAAAACTGAGCAAAACTAGGAAATGAGTGTGGTGCTCTGGATGGCTATTTTCTGTGGTAGGGTCAGGGATGTACCAAATATCTCTCTTGTCGTTGACAGCAACTGCGGCAGCATTGCCCACGGCGTCTGGGTGCTGAAGGGCTGTTGGCTGTGTCGGTGTGGCTTTAGTACACTGCACTGTCTCTCAGAAATAGTGCAGGGTAACTGTGGTAAGAAATGGCATTAAATCTAACATTTTTATCCCGTGGGTGACAGAATTGCCTTCTGCAGTGTTGGGGTACTCAGAGGGTGCTGTATGTGCACGAGTTGGACTTCTACAGTGGGTTGCTTTGCTTCAGAGAATGCATTAGTGAGACAGTAAAAAGCGCTGCTCTTGACTGCATTGACTGTCACATAAGACACTCTCGGATATTCATAATTCTGTACAATAGGAAACCTCCTGCCACTCTAGTTGAAGATTACAGAGGTTAAATACTTCTCTGATCTGCAAAATCTGTACATCTATGAGTTCCCACTTAACCAGGACGATTTCTACCATTATACTAAATCCAAGCACACAGACATGTTTCTTAGATAAAGAAGAAAAAAAAGTAATGTATACTGGTGTGGTAGAAGTAGAAACTGGTATTTCACTAGAGGAAAAAATTGTGTCTACTTAACACACAGAATCATCAATCATCATACATCAAACTGAATCATGACACAAAACTGAATCTTTTTTTAAGATCTGTGTCTCAATCTTTAGAATATTCTTGTATCAGTTTTAAGACTGAACACACTCCACAAAAAAAAAAAAATAAAAAAAAATGTAGTCATTATCCTGATCAGTGTAAAGCAGTGCTGCTTAGTCTCCTCAAAAACACCGTATCATTTTAAGGCAAGTCTTTCCTATATCAGCCTGTGAAATTCCCTGAATATATAGCTGAATATTTTTGAAAACAGTTTATCAATTAGCATAAAGATTTAAAGAGTTGCTACACTAGTATTATTTCCCATGGAGAACTGACTGATCCAGAGTGCTCTCATTACTCTTGAGATCACAAGTAA